CCTGCCACCACGTCCGCGAGATTGACCACCACGACCTCCACGGCCTCCACCACCTTCTTCTGGGCCTGTAATCATTCCTCGTCTTGTTGGAGGAAAGTTGGGCATTGGTCCTGTGGTCGATCCATGCATATTTCTTAATTGTTGGTCAATTTCTAATTTCTCTTGACGTAATTGTTCTACTTCCTTTAAGTCAAATAATAAAAAATTATAACAATAATAATTAAATTATATATTATCTAAAATATATTATACATATTTCATGCCATTATACCTTCAAATGCGCCAAATGATATTCCAATAACATTTTGGCATTAGCAATACTTTCAACAGTACCAACAAATACAAAGGGAACTTGACCCTCTTCTCTTGGAATTGTTGGTTGAGGTTCATTATCACCTTCTATCTTAACTCGTACCTAAAATTTATAATTATATTTAGAATTATTCTGTTAACCATATCATAAATAATTATTATCATTAATTTTTATTTATTTTAATTATTATATTTATATATTTACAAATTATATTAATTTTATTTTAAATTAATATAAAAATTAATTATTTTTGAAAAAACCAATAAAAGTGTGTTTAACATATTTTTATAAATATTTACAAAATTAATTAATATGAATATAATATTTACCACACCACTTTTATCAACAATTTCTTGTATTATGCGACCATTTTTTCCAATTACTTTGCCTACCAAAACACGTGGTACTTGTATAGATTCTTCACTATATTCAAGTAAAGAACGAGCTTTTTTAACTGCTTCATGTGTCTGTAATTAAATATGTATTCAATGTTTTTTTATAGAAACGTCATTTAAATAAATTTATTTTTATTTTATAAATAAGACATTAAATAATAAAAAAAAAAAATAAAATAAATATTTCTATTTTTACCTCTCCATATATTTTAAACGTGCATGAATTTTCTTCTAATTCTATATTTGTAATTCCATCAACCTTCCTTGCCTGCTGAATATTTGCCCCATGTGCACCAATTGCTAAGCCCATTAAGTCTTCTCGAACATTAAACTCATCTGTGTATCTAAAAACAAAATTTTATCTTACATATATAACTTTAGATATATATAATTCTTTGTTCTTTATTGAAATATTACAGAATCTATAATGAAAGAATATAACTTATGTTTAATTAAATCTAAACAAATTCAAAATGATTTAATAACATTTTAAAATTTAAAATATCATCTAAATTATATTATTCAATTTTTTTATTGATATTACAAGTAATACTAATATAGCAGACAAATAACAGTTAGTTATGTAATAAATATTTTTAATATATGCTAATACTGTATAATAGAATCTTAATGTTTAATAACATAAAATTATGGTTTTCATTAGTAACATGCAATTTTACATTATTATACATTATTATATTACAGTGATAATACTTTAATTAAATTTAAATTCTTGTCAGTGGCTTGCATCCTGGCAGATAAAAATACTAATAAAAAAATGCTTTGAGCATCAAATATATGTATAATATATGTATAATGTATATTACAAATTATAATAAAGTGATATTCAAAAGTTTCAAAATTATTTTTAAATCAATAATAGATTTAATTTAATTTTTTCACATTTTAGTTTTTAAATATTTTTTATAAATTGAAATTTAATTGTAAATATATTTGAAATTTAAGTTTAAACATACAATATATTAAAAATTTTAATTATGACACATAATATGTGCATATATATATATATATATATACATTTATATAAAATACCAATAAATATTTTAACATAATAATATAAATAATAAATAGATTATTTTAAAAAATAAAGCAATTTAGTAGTAAAAATTAAATCAATTTGAAATAGTAAAATTATAATAAAATTATTATATAAAACATGCTCATATGTTTTTATAAAATAAAAATAAAAAAAAAAAAAAAAAAAAAGAAAGAAAGAAATATCATATACTATAAATATTTCACAATTTTATTTCAAATTGTTTTAAATTTCTGAATTTTTTAATGTCAGTATTTAAAAAATTTGTTTATTTCAATGATTTAAAATTATTTGACATAAATTTCATTTAATTTTTTAAATTATAATAATAAAAAAATATTAAACAAAAATAAATAACTATAAAATTAAAGATGAATAATATAAATTTG